CCTGCACAGCCCCCCTGAGATCCGGCAGACTGCAGAGTCTCAGGGGGACTCTGCAGGATCTGTGGGGGGCTTTGCAGGATCCGTGGGGGGCTTTGCAGGATCCGTGGGGGGCTTTGCAGGATCCATATGGGTCTCTGCAGCCTGCAAAGCCCCCCACAGATCCTGCATAACCCCCCTGAGATCCGGCAGACTGCAGGGCCTCTGCAGGATCCGTAGGGGTCTCTGCAGCCTGCAAAGCCCACCACAGATCCTGCACAGCCCCCCTGAGATCCGGCAGACTGCAGGGTCTGTGGGGGTCTCTGCAGGAGACAGCTTATGGAGACCCAGGGGGGGAGCAAAGTTTTGTTCTGCCCCGGGTGCCTGTAACTCTGGTTACGCCACTGGAGCTGGGTGATGGTGACACGGCCACCCACATGTTGATTTTCGGCCGACTGACCAGGAAATCAGCCAAAATTCAAGCCGTGTATGGTCTTACATTAGTGTGTCACTGACATGGCACAAAATGTAGATTAGAAAGTGAACTCTGAATCCTGATTTACAAATGTGTCCCAGAAAGCATCAAAGCATTGGATCAGCATGATGGCCAAACAACTAGCATATTCCGTAAAGGTCCGTAATGGAAACCCCCATATTCTATCATTACATAATAATTTAAAATAGAGACTACTATGCACGGCTTACAAAGGAATATGGGCTTACAGCAATGAAAGGGTGGATGCACATCTGTGCTACGTCATACATTCCTTCTATTGTCTAAAAATCCACAACGCTTACAGGAGACAGAGGGCAACGTTTACAAAATGCTCTGTCAGCAAAATTATTGTCCACCAACTTCACCCTGCCCATATAATTAGGAGCTCTCAGCTTTTCTGGCCCCCATTTCCTGCCGTACAATGTCCTTTGTATGAGGGGTGGAGAAAACCCTGAAATAATAGCTTGTCCTGTCACACCTCGCTCTGGCATCCTCTTCATGTCCTTGATGATATTCTTGTCACTACAAGCTGTGTTGGTCTAGTCCCTGTTGCTGATCCCTATTGGTTTATTAGGTATTTTTCCACAGTAACCTAGTAAAAAGATTTTCTTTATGGGCAGAACAAATCGCTAACAGCTAATACGTACTGGTGTTCTAATTACCAAACGACAACTGTCAGCTAGGGGAGCAATCAGTAGAAATTCCCCTCTAGCTAAAATTATATTTGCAGTGTCATTCTATTAATATAGCCATCAACCATTGACAGCACAAGGAAAAACACAACAGTTTCTCATGAAGGTTAGGCGAACCATGATTCAAAGGAAACACTAAAAAAGAGCAATTTATTTATTTACATGGTTTTAACTCTTGAAATCCACAGTTACGAATTACAGTGATCGTGTATACCATTTTGACCTCCTAAAGGTAAACTGCCCAAGAGCAGACACCACATGATGCCTGATATCAGCCTTTTTTTCCAGCTAGAAAAGGCTTCTCTGTGCCTATCTTTGATTTACTTTCACGTTGTAGAGCTGGATCATGATGGCACTTACAAGCCACTAAGATATTTGAAGAACGTCACCAGGACACCAAATGAATTGCTGCATCAAATGTTGATTTATTGTTGTCTGCTGTCTCTTGGTTGCAATTGCTTTCGGGGTCACGCAGGGTTCCTTTCATCAAGCTCATCTCTGAGACTGATGAAGGGGACCCTCCGTGGCTCCAAAAGTGCTTGCAACCAAGAGACAGCAGACGACAATAAATCAACATTTGATGCAGCAATTCATTTTGTGGGCTGGTGACGTTATTCAAATATCTACATGTGGCGGCGCCATCCACAGTCAGTGCAATGGCAGTTGGCAGGTCATAGTCATTCCTAGGCAAACAGCAAATTGTTCATTATACATTAATGTACTTTATAAATAACCTGACAGCCAATCAGTAGTTCAGACCCCTGAACACTGATGAATGGTGATTACTCAACAAGCTGTTCTAGATTACTGCATCTTCTACATCAGAGGTCAACTTAAGCTGGACAAACACATTTCAGAAGAAAAGCTTGATTCTCCCACCCATGCTAAACAGCATGGATGGGGAATCCCCTCCTCTCCCCGCTGTGCTATTGTATTGTGACAGGCATGGCTGTGCCACTGACAAAAATACCCAGACAGTGACCAGCTTCTTCAACAAATGTCGACTGAAAAGTCAACTTGTGTCTGACACAGGCATGTGAGCAAACTCTGCTCGAATTATGGCCAGGTCAACAGGATTCGGTCGAAATTCGAGCATTGTATGGTCAGCTATAGTGAACAGGGTCTGAATGAACTTGTAAAAAAAGTTTCTACTGTAATAATCTGACCTTTTCACTTCAAACTATTGTATTCTTCTACCTCCAGTGCACCCTTAGCATTTCTATTGAATTCAGAGCCACAACAGGTAGGAATCAACATTTAGTAAATGGGGTAGAGTAGAGGCTCATTTGGGCTGCAATTATAATTAAAATAGTGTATTAAAAGTACAAAACTAATGACACCAGATAATCCCCATTATATCAGTAGCCACATAAGCTTTATTTCCTGTTCGAAAACAACCTCATAACAAACACACAGGTTTTAATGTATGTTGCTGTGAATATTTTACTTTTACAGGTCCAGTGTGTTTTGATAAAAGTTGTACATTAGTTTTCACTCCAGTTTTTTTTTTTTTATGCTTGAAACAGACTTACCTTGTCCTTGGAGATGTGAAATATCTAAGCCTTCTCTGAGTCGGATAACAACTACACCATACTGGTAGTCAAATGCATCACTAGAAAAAGCAAAGATGTGTTTAAAGATCACCATTGCATAGCATAGCTTGAATGCATACACAGCAACATTATATAAAAATTTAAAGTTAACTACTTTTAAAGTTTGTTTCCACTTTTGCAGCCAAACTGAGATAACACCTACTTTATATGTTTAAATGCTCCCATTCACACAGCATAAAAAATATTCAAACATTGCTCCTTGCCTTTTTACTTGCTGAAACATGATATTTAATGTAATGTTAAGGACGGGGCTGGGGATTTGATGTTTACCATAATTAACCTGGTTTGTACTGTGCTGGCAGATCTCCATTAGCAGCTGTAAACTAGATGTGCAGGGCTATCTGACCTAACAAAGGGTTAAAAATCTCAGGGCTTGGAAGCTGGCCTTAGGGTCCGATGTATAATTCTGCTACAAAGCAACTAAAAATTTAAAAAGGAAAAATATTTTTTGTTATGCTGTAGGAATAGGAATACATAAACATATAGTGGGGTTTTACTTTCCCCCAAAAAATATGATTTCAATTTTTTAAAAAAATTAATTGGGTAAAGAAATTTTTTTTTTGCATATTATGCAGTTTTCTATTAAAAGACGAGGAGCTCTAGTCTACCAATGTGAAACATTCTGTCACTCTAAGCTACCCTGACAAAAGTCTTGTTACAGATTCCAGCCATCACATCTTATCAGAGAGTTTAGTAGGAGGTTTTAAAAGCCCATTTCCACCTTTGCAAGTGATTACCATCTATTGTGGTAATTTGGTGTTGCAAGTGATGAGTGCACGTGTATCTACAAATATTAGATAGATAGATATCTATAGACATATACACACACACACCTAAACATACATGGCGTATATACCTGCTGCAGGTACAATCAGTGCTCAGGGCATATGCTTGCTTGTTTGTTTGGTTTTTTTTTAAAAAGACACCAGAGCCAAAAGGCAAGTGATTTTGCTGTGCAGTCTCTTTAGCTAAAGGTAGCCATGCTGCTGAAGTGGCTGACATCCGAGCCGTGGGTGGCCCTGTTGGGACCACCCAGCTCCACAAATTTTGACGGAAAAAATGAAGGAGCTGGATGGAAAATTGTCAAACGAACATTGACTGTATCCAATGAGTTATAGTCACTGTTCCGGTATTCTGGTAGCTGGTGCCCCTCCATCCACCCTGTTTAGCGCTTGTAGGGTTACCCTCAAACAAAAATGCCAGTGCACATACATGGTTTTAGTTTAAATGGTTTACTGGCATTCTATAAAGACTAACATGATGTTTCAAGGGCGCAGTGGTGTCCCATCTCGTAAATCTATGCACCACCATGTTGAAGCTTTCTGTGAGTGTGGAGATGGTGTGGGACAGATTACGCTATACAAAAGTTTTGGCTTCAGTTCTACTTTAACATTGGTGTAGCAGAACGTGGCACTGTGCGCACCACAGATCAAAGCAGGATGTTTGGATTTTACAGGTTTGTAAAGATTCAAAGTTATTGAAGCGAAGGAAAAGAAATCCATGCTATAACCAGACCAGTTGTAATCAGTCTGGAATGAACAATATATTCATAAAGGAATTACTACGACTTCCAAACGTGGATTCAGCACAAGCTATACAAATTTCAGTTTAACATCTTCTACGTGATGATTTCGTTGAATGCGCTCAAGGTTTTGCGATATGCAAAATATACAATTTCTTGTAAATAAATCCATTAACAGCCAGTCAGCACCGTGGTCCAGCTGTGAAAATCAGGCATAACCCAGGCAAGACTTGTTTCAGGAAAGATGAGATATTTTGAAACAGTAATTGACGGTAATCATCTGAGAAAGACTTGTATGTGTGCCGCCTGACTCCGCTGCTGCGCCCCTCTGTCCCTCATACAAATACTGTATCCCTTGTTGTTTGTTTGTTTTCTTTACTGAAAGCAGCTGAGAGCAATGTCATAAATCAAAATCAAATTACTCGGCAGAGGGAGCATGCCGCTGAAAAAGCTTCTCACAACTGGCGCAGCAGACATTAGACTCAGGTAAGATAAAAAACAGGACACTCGTAATGCAGAGGAAAAACTGCAACCCACAAGGGTGCCCATACACTGTTGGAATTTTGACTGATTCACAGGAATTTAGATGAAATTTTTGCAGTGTCGTCTCAATGAAAATCAAATACTCAACTGACTTTTATTGAAAGCGCAAAGATGAAATTATTTGGCAGAACAGTGACTGCAGCCAATCAGCTGAAGCTTTTGTTCTGACAGCGGCAGACCTGGCTGTCCCTAATCAATAGCCGCAGTGGGAGATCCAGGCTGTTTAGTGTAAATGGTGGAACTTGACCGATTTTCTTTTGTGTGCAGCCCAAAGGATGAATGAAAACAGCTAGTATCTGGCCGGCTTAATCAAATAACAGATGGAGATTTTTCTGTTTTATTAACTAAAAATCAAATGTTGAAGGTGTAAAAACAAAACTGATTCTGGTATTATGAAAATAGAAACATACATACAACTATAAGGGGAAAGGCATCCTTGATATACAAAGAGCAATAGCAAAAATATCTTAAAAGAACTCCAGGATTTCACCCCTACACTTCATGGGTTAACTGCTCGCTTCGATCTAGGGGTGCAAATCAAGAAAATATACTTACCTGATCCTCTGTCCTGCCTGGCTAGACCAGTCCCTGCAACCTCTTCTCCCCCAGGCTCCAGTGGTCTAAGCCCTGCTGATGTCAGCATGTCTATGCAAGGTCTAATCACTTGCATTAGGGTTAAGTGCTCATTTTCCTCTAGGGAACAAAATAACAAAGTAATACTCACCTGAACCTCACAGCTGACTGGCTGTTTGACCATTCCCCCCAGCCCAGCAATAAAATGTCCCTTGGTGCCTCAGGTTCTAACACTGTATAGGACATGATAACTCACAGGACCTTAGACCGTAGGAGCGGAGGGTGAGCGTGGCAGCACGGTGCAATCTAAGAGCCGTCCGGCTCTGAGGTTCAGATGAGTATAACTTTGTTATTTTGGTCCCTAGACAAAAATGAGCACTTAACTCTTGAAATGCGTGGGTAGCCCGACTGCAAGGGTGAAGAATATATATGCCCGGAGTTCTTCTTTAAAACAAGCCTTTGCTGACCTCTATAGCTTATTTCTAAATGCTTTGCTATGACATATTTTAAGCCCCTGATGGCACACACATTAAATTCAAAGACAAACAACACACCTTAAAAAGCATAATGAAAGCAAACAATCATTTCCAGGAAACAGCACATTCTATGGTCAAGATATAATGCAAGAAATCTGCACTTTGATCACAACTGCGCTGCCGGTACTTACTGCATTAGGTTAATGTAGGTTTCCACTTCTTTCATATCAGACTGAAGCCAGTTTTTCTTAAAGCCAACAACGAGAGTATTTGGTTTCATACGTCCTAACCCAGCAGCCTATAGTTCAAAGAGACGGTACATGGTCTAGTCAGTCATTTAAAGCAAACGCACCTCCCCCAACGCACATTTTTCTAACTCATCCTTTAAGCCAAAGTGTGTGAGCTGCCTGCCAACTTATTATATCTGGTATCAAAAGATTATATTGTGTGTATTCTCAAAATCTTATGCGTGAGGTCTGTGGAGACCTATAAAATATGCTTAACCCCTTTAGCACCAGAGACAAGTTACAGCTTAATGCCCAAACAAATTTCTATGCACACGTCGGTTTTAAAATTTAAATATTAAAACCTTAAGTGTATACGTGTATATACTGTATCTAACCTTACCAAACAGTAGTCCCAAACGTAGTCCTGAGCCTAGTTTAAACCTATCTGATACCGTGAATAAATCAGTTTTTCCGGAGTGGCTTTACAGTTGCAACTAGACAATAAGAGGTAACACAATATTTGTAAGCTGAAGAGACAAATGGAGTGCGGGGTCACTAATATGTAAACCTTAAATAATAGTTCCAGATTCAGTCAATGTAGTTGTAGAAATAAACTATATTAAAGATTTTTTTTGCTCCTGTGGTGACCTGTTCATGTTGCAAAGTGCTTCATTGTCTACTGTACAACTCAGTAGAAAGTCACTTGCACTCCAATAGGATTTTCTGTCAATGTTCTTTATTGACAAGAGATGTGTCACATTGTATAGCACACGGTTTTTTTTTTCTACTAAGTTGTACCGATCTGCAGAGGCATCTGCTGTCATTTCAGCACCCACCGGTTACATCCGGGCAGGAGTGTGATGGGATCTACTTATTGTCTACTCTGGCACAGTGTTCCTGCAGCCCTCTCATTTTGAATGGGCCCTAAAGCAGGAGAAAACACTCCTACTGGTGTGTTGTGGTGTGGTCTAGTGTTGACGAGAGCTTGGATCTCTGCAGAGAGACTGCTCCTGAGAAAGCAGAGTGTGCTACCACTGGAGCAGAGTTAAACACAAAATACATGTAGATAATATTATACCGGTAGGAGGAAGAGTGAATGATCGTTTTTCAGTCTGTAAGTGCAATTTATGTTTTAATAAAGCTTATTTAATGGTTTTATATGGTGGGTTGTGTTTGTTTTCTTTGAGCTGTGGGGAGGCCAAATATAAGAAAGTGGAGTGGGAGCAAGCCAGATATTTGAAGATCGAGGAAGAAGTTTGCTACTTAATAGAAAGCGGTGTATGGTCATTTTGTTTAAGGTGACCAACAACCTCTGGTGAGTGAGTGATCAAGAAGATTGAACACATGGGTGGTATTTGAAACTGCACTGAAGAGCACTTTAATGTAAAAACTGACTTTTTTGCACTAAAGCACGATTGATGGGTTTTAAAAGGATATTGTCACACATGTTTTATATATATATGAAAAGTGATTGTTTTTTGTTTTTTTTAAGTATTGAGTTAAGATTTTTTACATATTTATGCTTAGAAGGAATTGTGGAAGTGAGCACTTTAAAATTAATTTGTTATTTTCACAGTTAGTGTTCTACATGGATTATCCGTTACAGCAGCGGTGGGGAACCTCTGGCCCTCCAGCTGTGGTGAAACTACAGATCTCATTATGCATCTGTCTCTGGGAGTCATGCCTGTGAGAAATTTGCAATGCCTCATGGGATTTGTACTTTCACCACAGCTGGAGGGCTGGAGGTTCCCCGCTCCTGCATTACAGCATTCAGTTGTGTAGGTATTTTTATTTTCCTTGATGTGAACATTTTACAGGTGCTATTTAAACTTTTTTTTAGCACTTTATAGGGTTATTCGTTATAGATAAAGTTGTAGCCCGGGGTTCTTAGGGATCTATTACAAAATACAGGTAAATGCAATCCGATAGACCCTTTGCTCTATATACTTATGTTTAAAGGCGCCCGCACATAAGAATGTGGTCAGCTTATGCTTCAGTACCCATGTATGTCCCATAATTTACATCTACTTAGCCTGAAGCCATACTTTAAGGTATACAAGTGTAAACGGATAAGCCATTTTTCTAAAGCTTGTGATTACGTTAAAGGAATAGTAAACAGAGGTGGGGTAATGACCGTACCTGCATGAGATATTGGGCTCCATCCCGCAAGTCTTCTGCATGCACTGGAGAATAGAAAGCTTTCGTTTTATGTTTAATAAGCCATCGCTGATATCTTGCTTGATCTGTAAGCATTTCCTTTAGGGCTTGTCTACGAGGACCCTGTACAAATTAAAACAAATATTAAAAAAGGGCATTTAAATCTCACATTATATTAAAAGGCACATGCTGAAGAAAAAAAAAATTCACCACTGGGAAAGGCATTGAAAAAGTTAAAATCGGGTATGAAGCTGTAAAGCCCCATTAAAATAATGGGAACAAAAGTAGAAAAATATGGGTATATCTTACCATATGCACATGCCCGCAGATCATCAAACCAACATTCTTCGTAAAGGCATGAACTAGCTGTAGAAGAGCTGGCCGTGAACTTGGTGCACCACTCAAAACAAGACACTGCGGCCTAATGGGATGAGAAATAGAATCATAAGGCTGTGCACAACCAACATGCCCTGCCCTACATTCTTGTTTTTCAGGTCATTAACATTAACCAAATAATGAAGAAAAGGACAAGGATGGCATTGACCAAGTTAAAAAGGGAATGTACTGTAGAGACAAAGCAATCATTTTGCCACTTTATAGATCAATGGTTTGGCCTCATCTTGAGTATGCGGTTCAATTGTGGTCACCAATACACAGAAGGGATGTCCTTGAACTAGAGAGAGTCCAAAGAAGGGCAACAAAACTAATTAAGGGGCTGGGGGACCAAAGCTATGAGACAAGGCTGCTAAATTTAAACTTGTTCACAATGGAAGTGAGGCTATTAAGAGGAGACATGATTTTGATATACAAATTGTTAAATGGTGATAGCAACATCAGCAATAAACCTTTTACTGTAAACTCCCTAAAAAAAAGACTAGAGGCCACCACCTAAAATTGGTGGAGAAAAGATTTAACCACAAAGGGCGTAGGGGCTTCTTTTCAGTTAGAGCGGTTACATTTTAAAAACTCTTCCACAAGCAGTAGTATCAGCAAAGAGTATTGAATCATTCAAAAATCATTTAAATACCTTCCTCAGGGACCATAACATACAGGGGTACAGGTACTCTTAAAAACTAGACCACACACGGACTCGTATACACACACGCGCGAGCGCACAGAGACACACAAAGGTTGAACGTGATTGACCTGTGCCTTTATTCAACCTCAATACTATGTAACTATTGGAACTGAGTTGGTTTTTCCAAACAGCCATTCATGTTTAAATTAATAAAAATGTGTTTTTCATATGGAAATAATCAGAGCACAAAACAAGGTTTTCTGATTGCTTGATTTGTAAGTGCGAACACCAGTGCATGTATGCAGCAGGAGCGGAGGACAATCTAGACCACTTTACTTTCTGCTTTATTTTACCTGAAGTTTTTCACATGGTCTTCCACACCGGCCAGCCGGATAGTGTGTTGTAGTGCATTCAGATAGGTCAAGGCTTGTGTTGAAGATCCCCAATTCACATCTGAAAAAGAAAAAAAAAAAATATGCTTTAAAATAAATTTTTATGTAAAGAACAAACATTTATAAGAGGGGAAAAAAAGCCCGGAAAGAACATGAAACTTTAACATGAAAAATATGAGGTCACTGCATAGCACCCCACCAACATCCAGGTTTTATACAAGTTATTTGTGTGGTACAATTTTATGGCACTGACTTACCTTTGGATCAGAAAACTGATCTTGCGCACTTTCTGGTTGAATGAAGACTCATTCAGATTCAGGAATTGCTGTATTTGGTTATCAGCTTTTAACCAAAATGGTTCCCACAGGCAATGCCAACCATGCAGGAGCCCACACACAATATGGTTAACCAATATTACTCATCACTACAAGTGGCTTGATGATCATATTTTGACTGTGATTACAAAACAATGCGAAGAAAAAACACTATAATTTCTTTTTTTGGTAACAAACTTGTTCTGGCAAAGGCATAGTCAAACAAAGGATTTTCTTGTATAATAAACTGAAAGAAGACTTCACAGGAAATATCCCAGGAAGGAAAAGAGCTGGAGCCTTTCGTAAACTGCACAGCAGATTGACAGTGTGCAGTGCAGGAAGAAACCCAGTCACGTGCGTATTCAGTTAGAAAATGTGGTCGCCATCTGTGCTTTGTCACAATGGCAGCTGTCACTAGACACCTGCAGCACACTATTCCGATGCTGATACATTTTAGTTCCTCATCACCCCAAGCAGCCATGTCCACATCAATGACCCTCTTGGCTAACTTGACCTTCTAAGACAGGAAAATAGATCAACTTTATAAAGTGTAATAGAAATGGAGCCTGCAATATTGGTAAACATCCAAATACTGAATAGGTATTATATGTAATTCTTTTACAAGTACTGATACAAATGTATAGACTTGTCCCTGTAATGTTTCCATTTTGCATATAGAGGTTTTTTTAGAAATTTCCTGCATGCAGTAAGAAGTGTTTCCATTTGACTTGGTGCTATTAGGATACTATAGACACAGCTGTTTAAAGTTGTGTAGGGAATGCTCCCAAAGACAGAAGGCTTAAATTATCAAGATGAAGGGCGAGTTATTTTAACACTGCTGCTTAGCTCATCTAAAGATAATATTCTTCTGAACATTTTCAAATCACAAACATAACTAAGATCTGCAATCCTTATTTTTCAGCATTTACTGAACATGACAGTTGAAAATCTTATTTTCTCAAACTGGTATTTTAGCTGGCAAACTGGTATTTTATTGCCAACTCAAACCACTCTTCCTCCCTATTCCTTAAAAGACACCCACTGAAATTCACAATCAGAACCAGAGGCAAGAAGGCAAGTTAAAGTCAAGGAGTTAAATCGTGTGATAAAATAACACTGAAAGTGTTATAATAGCAGTTGTAACAGAGTAGGCTGAATAAAGTGTGTTATAAAGTGTGTGTGTGTGTGTGTGTGTGTGTGTGTGTGTGTGTGTGTAGGGAGTCAAGAAAATCAGCATGGAATGAGAGGAAACAGCTTTATGAATTGAGCCCAGAGAATTCCATAAGAGAACAAAAATTCTTCAGGGTAAGGCCCCATTCACACCTATGCGTATTGCAATATGCGCGTCTGTCGCGCGACCGTCACGCGTTTTTTTTACCGCGATTCGTGGTAAAAAAGTCGCGCGATTCCAAATGGAAAATGCCCTACAAAACGGACCAATACGCAGCAAAAACACTCCGGGACCTTTTCATGCGTGGGCCGTTTTGTAGTGCGTTCGGGACGGGCGGAAATACGGACAGGTGGGAACGATACCATTGACTACAATGCTATTTATTTTTTTGACCGTTTTGTAGAGCGTTCATCGAGCGTAGGACGAGCTACAAAACGGTCAGGTGTGAATGGGGCCTCACACACTAAAGCTGAACATTTACCACGGAGAACATATATTACTGAGATTGTGAGCCAGTACATAAAATAAAGGTTATCATTATTATACAAAAAGATTAAATTGACACTAAACCCAGGAGTTAAATCTTGAAAATGCATTAAAGTACCTTAACTATTAACAAAAAATGCATCTTATTTGTGTATCACTCGGCTGTAGATCCTCAAATCATCTCTGAATTGGTCCTGACACTGTCCTTCCTTCTGGAGGGTGCCTACTTTTGTTTCCCATGGTCCCTGTGTGTGTTGTAAAGTAGTCACCGATCCAAGCTTGCTCCCAAGATGGACCACAATCTCACTACAAATTGGCTAACTATAAGGTAAGATTGTTGTCCATCACCTGAGCAAGCTTGGAGTGGTGGCTACTTTACAACACACACAGGGACCATGCGGTACACAAGAATCCACCCTCCAGAAGGAAGGACAGTGTCAGCACCAATTCAGAGATGATTTGAGGATCTACAGCCGAGTGATGACAAAAACGTATCTTATTTGTGTAATGGTTAAGGTATTAGAATGCATTTTTAAGATTTAACTCCCGACTTTAGTGTCACTTTAATATGTTGAATTCCTGTCCTTCAATGCCAAATTTATCAGAAAGCAAGAGTTGTCTTTTAAATAGATGAATTTGAAGTTTTTGGTCGCATAAAAGACATCACTGTCATATTCATAAGCTACTGCAAAGCTATTTAATAGACCAATCCAATTCTTGCTGTGTTATGTAATAGATTCCACTGATATAAATATTTTCTAAATACCTCAAATCAGCAGATGGGTGAGATATGCTACAAATAGCTTCTCAGCTCAACACAGACCAATGCAACCTCACAGTTAAACCCACTGCATTCTTTAGCCCATTATGAATGAGATCCTAGCTAATCCTCACACAGGAACGCTTCTCTCAAAAGCTCCTGAAAAAAATTGAAACACTCATCGTTCAGAGAATCTATTCAATACACCAAGCGCCCTCTTGCATATTTCAAATTAAATCACTGTAATTACAACAGTTTAACTGAAAAAAGGCACATGATGCCTTTAACTTCATTCACTGGATGCCTATTAAACTGTTAAAAAGAAGAAAAAAAAGTTAAAGCCCATCTTTGGGGGAAAAAATGCCTGTTAAATTCTAGGGGTATCGCTCCCTCGGCAGTCAGTGCTCAAGGCGTATCCCCTTGGCATCGTCACATATAATGCACGGCTACAGGCCCTGCATTATACTTGATGACATCAGTGGACCTCAAACCCTCTATAGTGAAATGCTGTCATTGTGTAATGACTAATGATGATGCCTTTAGTTACAATGCTTAAAAGTCTTGAATCTGCAGTGAGAGGTTACTTACCTGGCTTCTTGTAGGTAACGTATATATACAATCCAATCACTATGACGTATGTTAAAAGTGCTGCCCACCAGTTGATGACAAACATGACGCCACAGCAAAGGAGGGCGCCGATGAGTGATACCCACATGTTGTAGTATTTGAAGGCTGGACGCCAACCTAAAAGGAAAATAAAAAAAATAAAAAAGGTATGACATAAAATATTGTCTAGCAACTCTACTATGAACAGCAATAATAAATAAATAATGGCACTATAGCTCCAAAAACACTATAGGTCTTATTTAAACATTTTGCTTCCATTACTCTGCCTACACTAAGCTGGATTCTGATTGGTTGCAGGGAGTTTATGGACACCACTGCAAAAATTAAATAAATATAATTTTAAGCTTGTGTTATATTTTACTATGTTTTATGAATTCTCTTTTTAACAATCCAAATTTAAATGAGATATTGCAATGATAAACTTGTGTTACGAGTGTAAAAAAGGAAAAAAATACAATGCATAATAGGTTTGACAGCGAGGGCAAAAACAAAAATCAAATCAATGGGATCAACCAAAGTATTTATTCAACCATATCCTTGATCAATAAGTACTTGGCAAAATTCATAACTAAAATTATTTGTTAAAAAAAGGGGCCTTTTTACTTCGACACGTTCTAGTACAGACGGTTCATATGACTACTTAAAAGTAAATTCCACAAAAAGGAAAATGTAAACGGTCTTGCACATGGCCGTACAGCATACATATCTGACATATAGCTCTGCACAGGAGTCATAGGTGTGCCATACAGCTGAGTGTAGCCAGCATGTACAAAGCAATGGCAAGCTGGCTGAAGCTGCGGCTGTACGGAAATGTACTCAAATCCGTTTGTTTACATGTGCACCGGGATTTGTGGACTGCACGAATGCAGAGGTTTCGGGACAGTGCACAAGTCTTGCACACAGTTGTTGGGCACACATTTGACTCTTTGCAGAGCAATACATCAGATATGAATGCTGTCCAGCCATTTCCAGCCATGTGCATGAGCTCTTAGTGTGAAGATCTGCCCTCCCCTGCCAATTATATTAATGTGTTGACTTCAGAAAGTATCTTGTCTTCCTTGCCCCTTTTGCCATTTTGTTATAAAGGTAACATTTACTTTATCAAACATACACATGTCAAAAACTGTTTCTAGAACAATGCCAGCTCTAAAAGAAATGATAACTTTAAACACAAAGCATTCATGCTGAATTTACTTAAGAAGAAAAAAGTCACTTCAGTTTGTTAGTAAACAAGCAGACCATATAATACAGTCATCAGGTTAAAACTAAACAAGTTGGAACCCTTCATGGACAACGAACAGTTAGTTAACAAAAGCATTTTTTACTCTAACCACAAACTATCCATGTTTATAAAGTGAGTAAATGAAAGCCCAACACGAAAAACAAAAAAAGTTTCAGCCTTACCTGGAGACTTGGCAAGTGAAGCGTGGAACACAGAGAAGTTTATTAAGGCATATGATGCCAAGAAGAAATTTGAAATGATAGGAGCAATCACATTTAGTTCAGCTAGGAAAGAGAAAAAGAGATCATTTGAAATTCTATTTGATGTGAACCAAACCAAACTGGACAACATCTACTCACTAATAGAACTAAATATACAAGCCTACTCCCAAACTAGGCATACCCACATATTGCCTCAATTAAATGAATGTACTCGTCTATTGATGGGAGCTATTGATGGGAGCCATGATATGCACCTAGGCTCCCACCCCAATATGGCGCTAAAACAGCTTGATTCCAAATAAAAGGAACTGCTACCGTGCTATACATCTCGGCACTGAACTGCCCTATTTCCCACACCTGCTACACTGAACTAGATCTACCATCTCAAGTCACAATCAATCTCTGACCTTCTCATTACCAAAAAGAATTGGCATCAGTAACCTTTGGTGGCATTACTAGCAGGCAATTTGTTTTTCTGCAGGCCAAGGTCTAATTTAGTTTTACTGGCAAATATCTCCATAAATATATCATTACAATATATTTATTGTGCTCAAGTGCAAGACCAAAATTAAAATGCTTAATAGTTGTGAACTCTATTTGAATCTACTTATTATCTTCTAATAAAGTGTGTACAATTAGCCCTCCCAATAATTCACAATTGTGAATGTCAGGTTACAGAAGAGTTGTACAAGGCTCCAATCATTCATATTTAACCATGTACTACAGTGGCAGGCCATCTGTGAAACTACAAATCCCATCATGCTTCTGCCTCTGGGAGTCATGCCTGTGGCTGTCAGAGTCTTGCAATGCCTTATGGGACATGTAGTTCCACAAAGAGTGTCGAGGTTGCCTACCACTGATGCACTAACATACAACTACACACCAATTAATATGAATCCCAGTGCAATTAGGAATGTAAGGAGATAGCCACGCAGTGGTTCATTGTTCTTGCCATATCCCTTGGCAAACACTTGAAGACCAGGATAAATGTTGTCCTTGCACAAGGCCTGGGAAAGGAAAAAAAACAACAGTTGATTTAGGAAGCTAGGTCTGTTCAAGTACATAAAACAACTAGGCAGGCTACTGGGAAGAATGGAAACCTAAGCTGACAAGACAGGTTGAGCTGCATGTTTTCCTATTTATGGGTCTTACAGTGATTGAATAAAATCAATACAATTTAGTATTACTGACCTGCTCAACACATACTGCAAGTAGGATTAGGTGAGTCATAGCCAAAAAACGTGCATAATACAGCCCACTGTCACCCCAAAACACTTTATGTGTAACGAACATCAGCAACATTCTATGACAAGGTTTAAACGTCTAGATTAGAAAATGTTCTTACCTGAAAGACCTTTGGTGCACTCACTAATGAGGCAAGAGCAGAAGAGAGAGTAGCAGAGAAGACTCCAGCTGTAATAAGTGGTGCAAACCCAGACACCATGGTCATGACCTGCAACATAGACAAAAAAGTGTATTTAATTGGGGAAACTTCGATACCCCACAGAGAAACTATTTGACTATAGGCAACTGAAATCAGATTGACTCTTATGGTTCACTGCACTTTGTACATAACCATAGACAGTCAGGTCAGATGTGTATTGCTTTCAGCCTTCCAACTGGGGAGATTCACTCTATTTGTCCTGGTTACCATTGTTACCGAGACAGAAAGTAATGGGAAATTCCAAATTTCATCAGAAGAACAAGGTGAGAGAAATCGTCCAATGGGGACACCTGTTTTAGTGACAACCTCCAATAGGGATACCTGTTTCAGTAGCAACTGTCCTAGAGGGAATATTACCTCACTTTGATAAAGATTCCCTCTCAATTCCGGATGCATCATTGGGATGGGAACGGGCTGGAAATTCCCCCAATGGAAAACAGGCAGCAATAATTAAATTTAGAGGGGTTTTAATCCTTTCCCCATCTAGCTAACGCTAATTAAAAATGTTTTGGGTATACATACACTTTAACTAAGCCATAAAATACCAGGAATATGGTATATAGACTAGTGGCCTTAATGGAAAAACTGGGAACAAGGTATGCTCTTTTCAGTTTAATATGAAATGTATCCTCTAAAAGTGTGTAAAAACCATATTAGACATAATTTTATTCTTATTCTAATTTTCTTGCTTAATCAAATAATGTATAATGCAATATTATATATACAGAACTGTTCACAATACATTAGTCTTGGCACAATAAACAAGCACAGAGAATTCTTAATTCAAAGGACTGATAGAATGTCATATTGAGCAATAGGAGATGCTGTTTAAGCGGCCAATTTTGGAATAACTGCTTTGAATGGTTACTTGTACACAAGTTGGATACAAATAGTACTACCCAGATTATTAGCCCAGGTGATCCGAGACCTCACCCTAATTAATTCATTTGTAAAAAAGGGGGGTTTGTACACAAGTGGAGTCCTTCATGAGACTATAAATATTGCACCATTAAAGGAGAACTATGGGGTTAGGGCTTTTCCCCATAGTTCTCCTTAGGGTAACGGGAGTACACAAACTAGTGTCCTCCCGTCACCCCAAGCTCAGTATACCGCGAGCTACAGCTTGCGGTATACTGAGACGCTGCAGCTGAAGCGTATCCCGACAATGTCTGGATCGGCCCAGCTGCGTGAGTGACAGCTGGCTCTGCCTATCTAGAGGCAGAGCCAGCTGTACCCGCCCCCTCCTCCGTCCGTTCCGCCAGTCAGCGCTGGAGGATGGGAGGGGGGAATCCAGTCCCTCCCCTGTCACAGCAGAGAGTCGTGACAGGATCAAGAGGTGAGCGAACGCTGGTATGTGTTCGCTCACTTCCCGATCTACTGAGCCGACCTGTGACAGTCTCATTGTCACAGGTTGGCTAGAACTATAAGGTGAGTGAAAAGCACTCACCTCATAGTTTTCCTTTAAGTCTAAGCGCTAGCAGAATCTGTGTAGTCCTATTGGCCTTCATAAAATTGGTTTGCAAATCAGTTTTATTAACCGCTTGAAGACCAGGTGTTTACACACCCTTCCTGGCCAGGCCCTTTTTCAGTGTTCAGCGCTGCGGTACTTTGACTGACATTTATTCCGTCATGCAACGCTGTACTGAAATTAATTTTATACCATTTTTGGGGGACAGATAGAGCTTTCTTTTGGTGGTATTTAATCACCACTGGGGTTTTATTTTTTACTATATTCAGGAGAAATTACTTAAAATTTTACTAATATTACCCACTTTTTTGGTAAAATATAAAAGACGGGGTCACATCGGGTAAATAGACACCAAACATGTCAAGCTTAAAAATTGCGCGCACTCGCAAAAAACTAGCATACCCAAAATTGGCCATAGGCGACGCTTTAAAAAGCTTTTACAGCTCATCAGTCCGATGTTCGTGGCGATATGTAACATGTGCGGCGTAATGGGCGCAATTGTCGTTTTCGCAGGTATGCGCACCTGACGCATGTTTACATGCGTGTATGTAGGGGTGGGGACTTTAAAAAAAAAATTTGTTTTTTTTAATTCTTTTTTGTGTAACTTTAAAAAAATTGGGGGGGAAACTACATTTTTTTTACTATTTTTTTTTTCCACTTAACCTTATAGCTATCACAGTGGGGCTGAGAAACCCCCTTATGTGATAGCAAACGAGGTGACAGATGATAGATAGATAGATAGATAGATAGTTAGATAGATAGATAGATAGATAGATAGATAGATAGATAGATTCCTTACCTGGAAGTTATTCATGAGTCCATATGGACATTCAGGTTTGCAATATGAGAAATTGTAGTTTAATGAACAAGCTGCATCTGTACAGTTTGTCACGGCCGCAGAAAGGGTGTCATTAACATTCCCTGATGCATCACGTACAACACATGAACCTGCGGATGAACAGAAAGGGCAACCTTGTTAATAGAGGCAATAGGAGGCCACAGTGTAAACAAGAATAGATGACCAGTCATAAACCAATGCTCAAACATCAGATTCTAAAAATGCTTCTTAAAGATAGACTATTTATCCTAGTGGATCCTTTTGTCCTCATTCTTTTGTGCTTCTTTCTCCTTTTCGAGGCAGCTCCTCCAGACCATGTAAATGGTAAATTAACTGCTGTCATAGAGTTGTCGCCCTCCTGGCTATGCCGTCTTGCCCAGAAAGTGGCTGGATAGAGATGCAGATAATTTTAAATGTGTATTTAGCAAGACAGCATGCACCAGATAGAATGCAGCTTTGCAAACAAAAAAAAACAGAAAAATTGTGTCTATTATTTGTTCATCAAAAAACATAAAAAAATAATTCCTGGAAGTCAATGCAATGTTATTTTTAAATTACCAGCACAGAGCTGAAATGGAATCCTTACCCACAGATACTGCAACTCCCATGTAGACTAAAGTCGTTATAAGAATGGCCAGAAGGGTTCCTTTAGGTATGGCTAGTTGAGGGTCCTGGAGAATATCAAATACATTTACACATGAGGTAAAACATCTAGAGCCAGTGTACTGCACACGCTTTGAGAAATGATACTCACCGCGAGGTCACCTGAGATATTGGCTCCTGCTAAGATACCAGTTGCAGCAGGAAAAAAAATGGCAAAGACGGAAAAGAATGTCTCATCATTTCGAAAAGCTGGTCCAAAATTTTCACTGAATATTTCCGCTGCAGAAAAGAAATAATAAAAATGTGGTGCTTAACGTACAAGCATACTATTATTACTAGAGGTCCACCGAAATGGAAATTTTAACACCGAAACAAAACCGAAATAAAAAAAATTGTTAGGCCAAAACCGAAAATGTTTTTTTATTTTATTTTTTTAAAATCTTAATATTTAATTTTTATTTATTTTTATAAACTTTAATTTTTTTATATTTATGAATTCATTTTTTATTAAATATTTTTATGTTTTACATTGCTTTTAGGGGCTTCGGGGAAATATTGGGGTTCTAACCCGACCCCTGTTTCCCTTTTTAAATAGAAAAAGAGATTTAGGACACAAAGTCCTCTCTCTTTCTGTATCCCCTGTTATCAATGAACAGGAATGAGTGTTCCTGTTCATTGATAACATGAGGACATGGTAGGTTTACTATACCTACAACTATGAATGAACATGAGGTGATGCAGATCACTCCCATTCATAATTGAGGATATAGTTAACATACCATGTCCTCAATCATCTACAAACGCTGAGCGATCACTGATCGCTCAGTGTTTGTGCTCGCTCTCCTCTCTGACACGGTCACAGGAGGCTGATCGAGCGGAGCAGGGAGGTGAGATCAGCCTCCTGTGACAGCGCTAGCTGTCTCCGCCCACACACCGCTCTGTGATAGGCGGCTGAGCGGTGTGGGAGGAGAGACGGCGGCGGCTCACAGCGCTCTCATCCTGCATCGCTCAGCCGGCTGTCACTTTCTTTTCTCCCCGCTGGAACACAGAGGAGCGCCCTGCCGGGAGAAAAGAAACCAGGGATGCGCCGATGTATCGGCCGAAACATGGCTCTTTCGGCATTATGCCAAAAGTGCATTTTTCGGCCGATATGTTTCGCCGGCCAATATATCGGTGCATCCCTAATTATTACACTAAATATCTATGGTTTACTTGCAGAAGACACTAGAGAGTTACAACCCAATAAACAAAACAAGCTGGATACACACGATGAGATATAAGCTAATCAAAATTATGTCACTTATTTTAGTCTCTTTGCAATCACCTTTTTAAAACCATGATAAAACTACAGTTGACCTATTCAACGGTTTTAAATTGTACTAGAAACATAACAGACAGCGGGGAAGGATTAGAACCACTGTCAAGTTTTTAATGTAGGGAGAGATGTCCTATGACTTCCTGTCAAGACAGAAAGTAATGGCAAATGTATCCAGTGGGGACACACACTGTAATTAAGCCCTTTCAAGGAGAAGATGGTTTAGAACCTTATGTTAATATCACTGTCTGTGTCTTGGTGACAACCATTCCCTGCAATCCTCGCCCTGCTACCAAAGGGACAGGAATTAGGGAGAAATCTCACAAGGTCATCGACAACATTAAAAACTGGAGATAAGTATTTACTTTTCCAAAGCCTATCTAAACAAAAATAAAACATTTTTGCTGTAGTTAGGCTTTACAAATATTCTACTATAAAAGAGAATTCTATTGAAACTGCTCAGAGTTTTATTTGGGAGAAAGATTCACTCAGCTTTACCCAGGAACACACTCACCATTCTAAGGTAGTAGTGCCTGTGGAAGATTAGAATTGGAAGGGGAACAGAAAAGGGGGAACGGGGCAAGAAATGTGTTCAAACCAATAAAAAAACCCGGTTCATATACCTTTATAACCAAAGAATCCTGTAGCCTTCTTGTCCTCCATGGGAATGACTGTTCCTATAAAGAAGTCACAAATTGCCAGCAACAATATCACCAGCAGTACTATCTGAGCCTGGGAAAAAATAAAACCAAAGAGTTATTTTAAACCAACAGGTAACCAGGTCTATCCTGCATATTTTCTCATTAATTTTACTTTTTTTCAAATACATATTTTAACATTTACAGACTTAACAGTAAATGTGCCTTTGAAAAGGAATTCCATAGGAAATTGGTTTTCCTTTGGTCTGTGATAATTGTGTGTTGGTTCACCATGGCACTTAAATGCAGCTACAGAAAACCACAGAAAGTAAGATTTTAAAAGTAGTATTAAACGCTCAAAACCTTTTTTTTTTTTCAATAATTAATCCAGAACAAATATACATTGTACATTTCTTTACATTTTTTTGCCCAAAGACTTCCAGTCATCATGTTTCAATACAGTCAACTCGCACTCTTTTAACTCAGCTTCCCTGAACCTCTTATTGAGTACAAGATCACAAGGAACAGTACAATCTACAGCACTTGTCCATTTACTAGCTTGGAAAAGGGAAAAATGGCATGAGAGGAGGGAAGAAGGAGGGGAGCAGAAAGCTGTGTCTGTGGGCTTGTGAAGAAGCAAATCACCAGCACTCAATAATGAAGATGAATATGTCCCTTTAATGGACAAGACATCACAATAATCCAAAAAGCCGACGTTTCGGGGCCACGCAAGGTCCCTTCCTCAAGGCAGAAAGACGAGGTAATTAAAGGGACATATTCATCTTCATTATTGAGTGCTGGTGATTTGCTTCTTTATCCTGTGTTTGCACGGCGCCATCCGTGGTTATCATTACGAGCACCATTTCACTTATTGGCCGGGACTGCTGTTAGGTGTGCGGAGAGCTCCTCCATCAATCTACATGTGGGCTTGTGAAGACGCACACAGAGGAGTGGCTCCATAGGACAATGCAATGGAAAGGAGCTGCCCTAAAACAGGATAACATTGCCAGTGCTCAGGAGAGCAGCCGATTCAGCAGAAAACAAAAACTTTTAAACATCAAGGAGCAGCATTTATTGTAAGGGATTTCATCAGCATTTGAAATAAAACAGTTAAGCTGCAGAAGTACAGCCTTACACACATCCTTTTTAGAGCCTATGAGTGATTACACCAACCACTGCATTTCAAAAGACAGGTCAGCACAAGCCCAGGGCTGATGAGCATGATTTAATTGTGTTCCGCACAGACTTTTTGGAAAGCAATAGGTTTCGGAAGCAGGGCTTCACTGTACTGAAGAAAGCCAAGCAGTGCTTAGCAGCGGTAGCCTTAAAGCTGCTCAATCAGGTGTTTTGCAAGGGTTCCAATTGAGGAGGCCTCCATAAGACTGCGGTGGCAAGAGGGGGTCATGTAAATAAGTTCTCCACCTTCTGTCTGAAAGTAGAAAGCTACTCTAAGAATCCCAGGATTTACTGAATATGCATATTTATGGGCTGACTCCCTGTCTGTCGCCAAGCACAGTATACAGCAATGCATCCTAACTCCAGTCCTCATGGGCACCAACAGGTCATTTCCACTGGACATTTTTTATTTCCCACACTTCCAAGTACTTACAAAGTAAACAACAACAGCCTTATGACTCACACTAATTTTACCAGCTAATACGTAAAAATATATGGAAAACATGACCTTGAAGATTGTCATGCAACACACTCCTATAGAGAAGGTAACAGAGAAGACAAGAGCACAAGCTCTCCACAGAAATAGTCTTTCAAGTCAATTGATTTAACTTTTCTTTTCATGAACTTGGCTCTGTATTAGATAAATAAGACATGTGAAACACATAAATGCCTATTTAGCAAGGGAACATGAACGACATGTGACTCAACTGGCAATTTTTAATCTAAATGTTCTAATTAAGATGAAGTTCAGGTCAAAAGATTTAAGCGGTAAAAGGTCTGTCACATGCATCCAAATAATATTAATATTTTTGAGAACGATCCTAATCTTGTTTGCACTATTTAGCTTTATTACAGTATGAATCAAAGTGAAAGGGAAGATCATCTACCAAAACAGCCACTTTAAAGGAAAGTTTATCATCAAACTAAGACTTTGGGTTTAACGTAAGGGCAGTTTGGACCATGAAACAAAGTGATAAGCTCTACCCTGAATATAACTGTAGTCTATCCTGAACCTTTTAGACCAGATCCCCTTTGCTGCTTATGATGCAGTACATGGTGCTGGGTTATCACTGTCCATCTATGCTCTTTCAGAGATTAAAGTCAAGCACTGTTTTTCTACCAATCCATTTAATACTGGCAGCAAACTTAGCCCTTTGACCATAGACCTCACTTGTTGTGTAGGAGAAAAATGTTTAAAGGGGAATGCAAGAAAAAAATACAGGAAAGATGAAGATGGCTCTGAGGAGAGAGTTTCTAATTTTATGGACCCAGCCCTGTTCTGAAGGTTCTATATAATTATTTCTTCCTTTGGGTCAAACAGCTATTGTCCATATTCTGGCCTGAACTCTGTGATCATATTAGTTGCTTGCACACAGATGGTTATGGACACATGACTTGAAAAAGGAAGTACTCAAAAAGATTTTTTAGATGACAAAATTTGTTGAACAAAGAGCACTGAGTTAAGTGGTTCCACTAAACCCCCCTCCCATGGTGCACTTATTTACTGTATGCTGGAATTCTTTCTTAATTGCTGTTGAATGCAACTACTTGCCATCTTATCGTTATCTTGTCCAACTAATAGTCTTAATACCAGTAACATGTAATATATTTAGGAGTTGTTTCATGAAATGCTTAGCTAGACACTTACTTTTGCTTCCCACTCCATGCCTGCTACAGAGATACCCAACAGAAGAACAACAGTTATTGCACCAATGATTCGGGTGTCATTTATTTCATCCACCATCACAGCATTGCTTTGCTTTGTAAAAGAAAAAAAACACAACAGCACACAATTAGTATATGTTTTAAAGCTCTATCTCCACATGTGCAAATCATCACTACCAACTAATTTAGCAGAAGCCCACCCCATTCTTAAAACCCGCTTACATACAAACACTCTCAAATGTGTACAGTTCTATAACTGTTCTATAAGTCCATTTAGTGAAATTTTATAGAATGCAGCACAGGTCCAGTGTGTGTTTAATGTAAATAACCAAGTCCAGCAGGCAATACTGTGCTGTAGCTTTATGTATAATGAACAGGCATTTGTAAAACCGTCCTATTTAGGCACATTCCTGGATTGCAGCCAGTGAATGAAGCTGATGACATCAACAAAGCACAGTGCTTTGAATTTTCTCATTTCTTCTGTGTCTGGCACTTGCCGTGACTACGCAGAGACATGCACAAGAAAACTCGCCTGCTATGTAGGGTGTTGGAAATGTGACATTATGGATACAGCATGAGGGATACACCCAACGCCTAAACCATTATGACATATGGAAAAAGTGAAGTTACTTTTTACTTCGTATTGTTCAGTCTAGTATTTAACACTTCTTTATACTGTATATAAAAATGGCTAACAGACCGTATAATACCATGAAACTAAAGAGAACACAAAAAGTACCCACGCCTGGGCAAAAAGACATCACCACTTTCAGTTCCTATATTCAGATCACCCTGTGTGTGTGGTGCAGAACCAAATCATGAAATCACTGAAATCTGTGCAGATTTCAAAAGGCTAAGATTAAAATGTGGCTGAATAATGTCTGTGCTAATTGAAGTGCTAGTATTGAAAGTCATTGGATCAGTATGACAGCCAAGGAAAAGGGACACAGCAAAGGCTCTAGGAAGCAAACTCCTTCTTGCATCTGAGCCTGGTGTGCATTGTGTTAAGTCTGATGGTGTGAGTTGTGTGCAGGCAGTGTGCTGCATTGTTACATTACAACACACTGTGTACTTTTTTAAACTTTATTGAAATGTCATTCAACTGCTGCTTTGCATAAAAATGAAACCTGTCCAGATTTTTTTCAGTACACACCAATACAACATGTTGATGTGAACTGAGACAATAGGACATAGGGCAAACTGCCTTATCCATGCAGTGGGATGTGTAGGGCAACGCTGTCACACACAGCGCAAAGGGACTGGTGTAAACAAACGCTTCGCTCGGAGTATACATGTCCTTTGTAACCTGAAAAAAAAATTCTGTAGCCTGGAGTACAGCTTACAGTGGAAGTGCACCCGCGAAATCATCAATCACCTTTAAACAGCCATATAAACACATGTACCTTGATAAATGCAGAGTACCATATTTGACTTCTCTCCGTACTTCGTTAGTCCAGCAAACAGCATTGCAAACTGACAGTCATTTAAAAGTGGCACCAAGCAACTCACAGTGTCACTCAGCCCACCTTGTGCCATCTATGTCTTTGACAGCATCAGGACACGGAGGAAGCATTTCCCAGTCAGTCTGAATACCACCATGGGTTGCATGGTGTAGCTGGTAAATGGTTGGCAGTTTCTTTTTTTTTTCAATTATGATAGGGTGTGTCTAGTTGGTTCTGCCCTCAGGCATATGGTTTCAAAATCTGTCAACTGTCTCTGGTGGTATATCCTACTCGGGAAGGAGGATAGGTAGTGTCTGACTTGTAAGGCGCACCACATTCTCAGGGGCGGGATGGTAAGCTGCTGGATCTGGACAACCTGTTTCCAGTGGTCTGCGTTTCTAAAGTGATATAATCTAGTCATTCCTGATGTCTCTAGGGCTTTGGCCAATGGATTATGCAGACCCGGAGGGAAGTGCGGGCTCCCCACCACTGGTGTCATGGGTGACGGTAAAGGAGATATTCCTGGGGCCGGGAATACCTTGAACACCACTTCCATTGTGGCTTTTACTAGTGGGTTGATCCAGGTGGTAAGTGGTAACCTTGGGACAATCCATGGGATGCCATGTAACGGCCATGGGCAATCCTCCCGTTCCAAGGTTACCCATAGTTTCTGGTCCGCATTACAACACCAGTCCACAACGACCGATAGGTGGGTTGCTCTATAGGAGAGAGCAGGGTCTGGAAAGCTCAATCCCCCCGCTGTGCGAGGTCTGGAGAGTATCTGATGGCGGAGTCGTGCCCTCTTGTTTGCCCACAGAAAGGTCAAGAAGTGGGATCGCATTTGTCTAAGAAAAGTAGTCGGGACTGTAATGGGTAACGTCTGAAAGAGATATAGTAGTCTAGGCAGAATCGTCATTTTTAAAATGCTATTGCGACCCATCCACGTAAAAGTGGAACGGTCCCAGGACTTCAGATCCGCAATGATACGCTTCTGAATGGGGACGAAGTTCAGAGCAAAGGTGTCTTTGATGTCCGCTGGGATATACACCCCTAGATATTTAATGTGGGACACCGCCCATTTGAACTGGAAGGACGTACGGAGGCTGCGGAACCGAATGATGGGGATTGAGATATTAAGTGCCTCAGATTTGCTGAGGTTCAGCTTGAAATTTGAGAGCCGTCCGTAGGTCTCTAATACTTGCAAGATATTGGGAAGTGATGTTTCTGGACTCGACACAAAGTAAAAGATCATCTGCATAGGCTGCAACTTTATGGTGTCTGTCTCTGGTCTGGTTGGCAGTTTCTAATGTTGATTGCTGGAAAACCGCAGTGCAAAAAAGTGCTGTGCATTTATCAAGGTACATATGCCATATGGCTGTTTAGCGTGAACTTCCACTTTAAAGCAAAAATGAGCTTCTGATGAGGAGCCCATTATGTCTTCCCCAGAATGATACAGTTCTCCCCCAGGTGGACAACCAAGCAACTCCAAATAAGAAGCTGAAAGTGGAAGAGATTCAGGAGAGCCAAGCACCAGAGATTAAACACCAGGAAACATAGCATCACAGTTGTAAACATTAAAAATTATTTTATTATTTCCAGGGAAAGTCTGGAGCCACCATTATGGACAACTATGGCACTCTATAATGGTCTGGGCCAGCTCCTCCTGTAGGACTAGGCAAGGCAGAGGTTAGCTGTGTGACTTTATTAGTTGCAAAACTCCTGCCAAAAAAAGACTACAAGCCTTTTAATATAAATTGCAAATTTATGCCAGGGGCAGCACATGAAGTTGACGGACTCGAAGTATGTCTTCCAACTTCAGGACACTTTTTTTACTAGGGTTTATATGAGATACGTATTTTTTTAGTTATGACTAAAGTTTATGCCCCAGTTCAGGAAAATGCATTATTCAGTATTATTCTTAAAAAAACCATCAGACTACTTACCTGCAGTAATTCCACAACAGTTTCGGAAAATCCCACCACATACATAGCAACAGCAACAGCATTTGCAAATGCAAAAATTAGTCCTATAGCACCTCCAAATTCTGGTCCCAAACTTCGAGAAATTAGGTAGTATGCACCTCCTACAATTAAAAAAAAAAAGAAGATTGACAACTGCTGCAACTTACACTTGCATGCAAATCAACTACACTGATATAAAGGAATCCAGTAGTGCACAGTTGATATTGCATAGAGATTTCACGTAAATATTGTAATTACATGAAACTTTTAATGTAAATTATCCTCTACAGCAGCTATATGTATTTCACACTGTATTTAGATATAAAAAGATAGAGCTAATTAGATTCTAAAGAACTGATTGTAGCACACCTAAAAAGCAGCAGTGGAGCACAATGGCATTTGCAGCCACTAGAACAAGGAGGCCACTAAATGTGTACTAAACTCTTCAAAGTAACCTACCTCCAAATATTAAGATCCTCCATTTATAAGGAAACTAAGGTTTATATTAAGTAAAAATCATGTGTGGACAAATGAATATGGAATTCGGGAGCTAGTCTGACCAATCCGGGAGCCAACGCAATTGTTTCATTGACAACTAGAGAAAACCTCAAAAAAGCTGTAATTTTTAAAGGAGCATTGGCTACCTGGCTCTTGGGATTTTTCCAGGCCTGGTATAAATATAGTTATGAAATACTCTGCCTATCAACCCCAAGGCCGTCCTCATTAGAGTTGGCAATAAATATAATACCCCTAATGCATGCATGGCCTGCCCAGCTTTGTACAGTGTTTACAGGCCCTGGCACCGTGTATTCTCTGACCCTTCCCAATTGTATGCAGTGGACGCTGCTTTGGGCCATGAGGGCCATGAGGGCCATCCGGACTAGAGTACACAAAGTGGTGTACATCACAGCAAAAGCACACAAAATACTCTCGGGCTATTAAGTGTGTAAGCATTAGCAGTAGGATTATTCTTACTGATTGGAATTGGGGGGGTAGTTCTGTAATGATTGTCTTAGCCCTTGTTCACACCTGAACGTTTTGTAGCGCGTTCTACGCTCGACGAACGCTCTACAAAATGCTCAAACATCTAAATCCCATTGTATTCAATGGGTCTGATTCACACCTTGGCGTATTTCAGCCCGTCCCTAACGTGCTACAAAACGGCCCACGCCTGAAAAGGTACATGTACTACTTTTGGGCCGTTTTTGTTGCGCGTTTCCATTGGGATACAGCCAAGTAGCCCTCGGAAACACACGTTTGTCGTGCTATTTTTTTTACCACGAATCGCGGTAAAAAAAACGCGCGACAACCGCGCATATGCAATACGCCTAGGTGTGAACCAGGGCTTAATGTTAGCATCACCATTCTGACACTTACTGCTAATTTAACATCAGTGATGCAATTGGTGAGCTATCAGCAATGGAAAAAAAGTGAAAGTTCTCTACTGTTTCATAATCATCTATAACATTATGCTGTAGCTGCAAATGTCACAGGGTCACTTTAAAAGTTGAACTGACAAAACATATATGAAAGAGCAGTTACTTGCTGGTTGATGGCTGACGTTCCATGCTAGGTCACTATAGTATGTTTGTAAACAGTGTGAAAAACCCTGGCTGCCAGTGAAAGAAGCAGAATGTTCAGCATGCTTCTGATAGTACATGATAGCCCAGCCCTGTGTGGCCTTTGTATGGAACACAATTAACAGTAATACTACTAGGTCTAACAACACCGGAAGGTGAAAGACAGTCAAAAGGTGGAGACACAATGCTGTCATCTGCAACCAACAGAAAAGGAAACCACTTTCACATGCTATTTTTAGCATTAATCTTGGGGTTTTTTTTAAATTTACTTTTCTGTTATTAGCATAAATCTTGTGAACGAGATTGCACATTTAAAAATGAAATTTTAGAAAAGCAGATTACAGAATTGCTTTACCGACCACAAAAGTATGCATCAGATGTTTATGGGCTTGTTCCGTAAAACAGTGTAAGGAGAAAATAGTTGAATACAAAGTGCAGCATCCACAGCAGCCAATCAGCATTTATCTCGTTGTGGTCTGACTTCAGCAAAGAGATATTTGGTGGGCTGCTATGTGATTACTTTACTAAAACGAATCCAGATTAAATAAATTGGCCAAGCACTTACAGTCATCATATTTCCAAACAGCTGACTCCCACTGTCTCAGCTCAGCTTCTCTGAACTTCCTGTCCAGTAGAAAATCACAAGGGAGAGCACACAGTCCAGCAGTTGTACATCTACTAGCTTGCAGAAAGGAAAAGAGGGAAGGAGGGGAATGGTTTGCTTTGCTGTGTCTGGTTGTGGAAAAACACACACAGCTTACTAGCACACGCAAGGGTGGCTCCATAGGACTCTGCAAGCGAAAGGAGTCACCCCAAAACAGGAAGTCAGGACCAGTGCTCAGGAGATCAGGTGATTCTGCAGGAAACTGAAACCTTTAAACATCAAGGAACAGCATCCATTGTAAGGGATCTAGACAACCCTTAAACTAGCTTAAACATCCTTTTAACTTTAATATCACTTTAATGGCTGCAACAATTATTATATTTTATTATAATGTAATATACAGGGGTACGGGTACTCCTAGAATGAGATCCTAATAGGTTGGACTTGATGGACTAATGTCTTTATTCAACCTCAAATACTATGTAACTATGTAATCTCAATACAAACCAGTAGTCCATCACTCGAGCCATTTTTTAAAATGTATTTTATTTTTTATCCGATTAATCGAACTCAATAATCGGCTAACTAATCGATTTTGAAAATAATCGTTAGCTGCAGCTCTAGTTGCTTCTACTTAGTGCTTATTTAAGACTATATGATAATAGTATAAGGCGTAATAATACAAATTAATTGTATATTTAAATCTAAAGGTTTTAAACATAGTATCCATCTATATATAAAACATTGTGAAATTGTCTTGGGAAAGTAGCCTGTAGATTTTTCTTAGAATTTTTGGAATACTTTTTGCACATGGTGAAGCTGGACTCCAGGAATGATCTATTTTGTAATCTTACATTGGACCAGCTTGGTTACCTGTAACTATGCATGTTGGGGATGCAAAAATTCACTGTAGTTGTGTGTGCTACCTACAGTCAGCGCTGTCCTGTCTGGGTGCTGCTGGAGCGACTTTCCATCTGTACACTGATAATAGGGAATTGCTCGCTCCCATACCTCCGCCATTCAGAAAATAGCTTGAGGGGAATTTATCAGAGCTGGAACAGACACATTCTGGAGCAGCTGTGCACTACAACCAATCGCCTTCTCTCTTTCATTTTTAAATCTTAACTGAACAGACTGAACCGAGATGCTGATTGGTTGCTATAGGCAACTGCTCCGCATTCTGTCTGCTTCTGTTCTGATAAATTCCCCCCTTGTATTGTATTTTTTATAACTACAAGGCATTCTCTAATTGGACAAGGTGGGGATTGTCATGCCATTGGCCTGTCCTGTCCGTCTCATCCAATCAGAGCACCTTGTATTCACTGAAACAAAAGAAAATACAAAATGTTTTCTGAAATACAGGAGCAAGTGACTCCCTGTGTTTAGGGTCCATTCACACTGGTGTGAATCGCACATCTCTACAGATACAGAAAACCTCACTATCTATAGGATGTCTCCTGTTTACATCTGTGGTCCTATAAAGACATTTAACAAAAATAATAAGTCTATTAAAATGTAATATTCAAAAAAATAAATAAAAATAACCGACAGAGGAAAGGCAATAACAGCACATAATGTGTCTCTTGCAGATTAATATGTTTTAGCCAGAACATTAAGCGGAGGGATGCAATGCATAATACTTGCTTTCGGCTAAGTGCTTTTCAATATGCAGGAAGTTTTAAATGCTGCTGAGGAAAGCTATTCTTAAAATGTGAATATATAATGTATGAGCCTTGCCTGGCTCCAGCATGACATGCTCCAAAACATCAGATTGCAATGAAAAAGTACAGAAGGGTGGAAAAGTGCTGAATAGGGGCTACAAATAGCACCCGGTCAATTACTTCTTTCTGCAATCCATGAAATGAGCTATATACTAGAATGTATTTTTCTAGAAGGTTTGCTACCTAAATCAACAGTGTGGCTAATATCAGCCAAATGGCGCAAATTGAAACCCATAGCTACTAAGATAACAGTCCTGCACGGTAATATTAGGAACAAAAAAGCAACAATAAATCTGATTTTAAGGAAACATCACTTAAAGTGAAATTGAACTCTGACACTGAAGATGTGCTAAGCTATTGGGAAATTAAGCAGTACTTAAATCTCTTTTAAGTATTACTAAAGGCTGGTCACGTTTTACCTTAATGCATTATCTGCATTAAGGTAAAAAACACCCAGTACCTTTCTTCTTCTATTTAATGGTGTTCAACTGTTTGAGTGCAGGAGCAAGTATACTATTTAGGTTTTAGGGATGCTGGTTTCCAGGAATCTGGATTTATTACATTGTCCACTTTAAAAATGTATTTTGTGGAAATCCAGATTTGTGAATTTAAGTGATATGGCACATAGCTACGTTTGTCACAGGGCTAGTACAGTATAGTGTATAGTGTAGAATAGTATTAGTACATAGTTTGTCTACTAATTCCCAAAGGAACATGACTTGGTTGTGAGCCCAAAGACAAAATAATTGGTATTTTAAACTTCTGAGCATCATCAATGGATAAAACATCCCTGCATTGCCTGTAGGACTCTGCTGATAGTTCTAGCTACCCTTTACCTAAGAGAGAAGGGGAAAAGAGCAAATGCAACATAGGTTGTCACTGGGCATCTATGTAAATAAACCTTTAGGATGTCTATCCGTACAAGTAAAAAGGACACCAGTGTCTGGGTATCATTCAATTAGATTTTGTAACTGCCTTTGAACACCCAAAAAAAAAATGATTTAGAATGCCAAGAAAAAGTCCCAAAATCCCGTTAGTCTCAACTCAGAGGGCATATCTGTTGTCCTTTAAAAGGTTTGAAGAGCTTGGCATAAAATAAATGCAGCTATCCGAGTCATTAACAAACAGGCAACCTAACATAATAAAACACATCCTGTGGATCAAAACCACTTATTACAGGAAAATGTTGTTTTGTTGTATCAAAAAAAACACATGACGTCAACAACACTGTTGTTTCTTCTTAATCAACTGAAGTGATGCAGCGAACAGTACAGCTTCAAACAACCATTCGGAAAACTCCGATATTTCAAGCTCTTGTAATATATTTACCTCCTCTTACAAACCCATTTGTAGCGATGGCTGAAGTAGACAATCCGGTAATAGTAGTCACCACAGTGGCCATTGCAATGACTACAATGCTTAAACCTGTGAAAAGACAAAATGTTATAAAGAAAATTGAACAAATACAAGTATACTGCAACATCCCACAATGAAATGAACGGGGAAATGGTCCTAAAAGAAGGTTGTTTAGAAAGATCTAAAGTAATACAAATTCTGGGGAGGGGGGTTTATCAGAATCGAACAAATTTGTGATAAGGTTGTGTCTGTGGTGGCAGATGTTGCTTTCTACATATCATCTTCCTGTTGCTAATTCCATCAAAGAATTCCAAACCCAGTCAGTTTTAAAGGGCAAAGACTGATAACTTGGTATGTCTGCCTCAGCAAAGTTATAAAAGAGTATCAGGCATCACAAGTTTTTCAAACAACAAATCCTCCAACACAGAACATTTAGTAGTGTAGGTGTGATCTGTCTGCCGACATTCAGACCACAATCTGATCCAAAAAGAACATGCGGTTACACCCCCATCCCCCTGAATTCTTCACTGACTACAAAAAAGAGCATTAGCAGGCGAGACTGTGACCCCCATTCTGATGCATACAGTTTAACTAGTGCACCTTAACTAAAATATTTTCACAGATGTAGGATATAAACTTCATAGGCCATATGATATTCTTTAAAAGATGTATCCACAATAAGAACCCCAGAAACCTGAATCAAATACAAACATAATGGTTTATGTATACTGGCAGACAGCCTCTGCATGATAGCTCATCTGGGCACACTAGCCCCATGGGTCACACTACATATATTATCTGCTGGGAACGTACGTGCAGAACACAATTTTATCAAGTTTACGTTAATCTAGAAGAGAGCAGGTAACATTCTGATGTGTACCTAAAATGCAATACTATAAATTATGCCTGCAATCACAACAGATATCTCTGTAATCCTGAGCAAGCGTTACCAATGCAACACATATGTGAAAAGGTAGCCCTATGACCAGTGGGTACATGGGCCAAGGCCAAATATATATATAAATAAATGTTGACAGAAAGCATTACTAATGTGTTATAGCTTACACGGGTTTAAGCTCACATAAAACCAGGAAATGCATATGTTGGATTTAGTTAAAAGAAAAAAGAAATGATTTCACAAGGCGGTGCTGGCCATGTTTCTTTTGTATCATGAATCCTCTTTCTTCAATCAAGAAAAGCAGACCCAGCTAGCATGTGAACAAAGTATCCGTCATATAACAAAGCATTTCTTCCAATTGCAGGAAATACATCAAAGCCCCCTCTTTGGCAACTCAGCAAAAATTATTTTGATATTACTCAGGCTTGTCTGGAATTTCAGAAGTGGGTTATACACTGGGCTGGCTATCAATTTGTGTAACCTAGGCTACATACTGGTAAGTCATGTTTTTTTTAATAATGCTTTATGAAAGGCCTAAATAAAAAAAAAAAAAAAGAGACCTACCGATTCCAGCTTGTCCAACAATCCACGACAACCGGATGAATAACATCACACCCCATATATTCAGCATGCATCGTACCTACAAACAGAGCACATGCACCGTAAAAAGAAAGGTTTGATCCCCCTGTAGGAACTGTTGTTACATTTTTGAAAACTGCACTGATGTTACATGTACAGCTTAGATGTACATAAAACTTAGTGGCGTTTCCCTCACCAAGTTATTAACTCAAACAACTAGGGATGCAAAGATACCTTTTTTTCAGTATCGAGTACGAGTACCGATACCAATCAGGAAGCAGGGCGGCAAATCATTACACGGCACCTGGCTTCCTGATTGGCCAGAAAGCCGGCTCTATGCTTCCCATGCAATCAGGAAGCTGGGGGGCGGGTAGTGACTTGCCGGCCAGCTTCTTGATTGGCCGGCTTCCTGACCAATCGGGAAGCTGGGCGGCGAGTAAATACACACTGTCCAGCTTCCTGATTGGCCAGGAAGCCAGCTCCATGCTCCCTCATCACCAAATGACAAAAGAGATGGAGCCGGCTTCCCAGCCATTCAGGAAGCTGGGCAGCATGTAATGACGCACCGCCCAGCTTCCCGATACTGGAAGTTCGGGATAGGCATCGGGAGCATTTGGGCGAGTACGAGTACTCACCCAAATACTGGGTATCGGCACGATACTAGTATTGGTGCATCCCTACAAACAAATTTCAAACACCCCTTTGCACTGGAGAATCTAAAAGAAGAAATCTGTACAGTTCATTTCAACCACTCAAATCCGACCTTCTAAACTACCTTAGTACAATCCCAGATGGAATCCAGTTGCTAATGGCAATAAAGAGTTCTTTTAGACAAGAGACCTAAAGCTATTTCAGGCCACCATTCTGCTGTGCAGATCTGTAAATTTGGGTACCATAGGTAACCAGGCAGAGTTGAAAACAGAGCACACATACTAGCAGTTACCCGCTTACTAGATTTTCGGATATAATATAGGAGACATCTCTACATCTGGTCATATGATTGATTTTTTTTTAACATAAACAATCATGAGATTCAATGGTGTACTTACTTTTTTTCACAGTACACCTTTACTTTTATGTATATGTTTGTTGAATAACAGACTGAAAAGTCAAATCTTCCTTGCTATATTATTCAAGTATATAATGTTTAATCTGTAGGCACTGTTTGAATTGAGATTTAATATTTGCCTGTTAAAATTTGTTGAAGTCAACAATTTCAGTGGGCTGTACTTCATTGTTCACATGATTGTATCATCTGCACACTGCACGATCACCTCTAGTTTGGCTACCCAGTATTCTTTTCTTTGTAGAATATCTGAAAAACAACAGTCTCTGCAAAACATCCACAGTGAGATCAATGGCAAATGGGTTAAAAAAACCTCAACTGAAACCCCCTTTTTCAATAGATGTTCACAGTAGCATTATCAAACTATGAGAGGGAATCTATTCTGGCACTTTGCTTTTCTTCTGTGCTCAGGTGAAGCAAAAACACACTGCTGGCTGATGTCTGAGCCTGATTTTATGACCATGGCAAGGAGTTCAGCACTACAACAAAGTTTGCTCTGCAGGTGTTTGAGATTTTAAAGCAAGCCATGTTCTAAATTAAATGATAAACTTAAAAGTGGTCAAACATACGACAGTTTTTCTTATGACAATGTGGTCTTCATAAACCCATCCAAAAAAACTCTATACATTGTATAATGAGTGGTGAATGATTTGCACTGAAATAGACTGGTAGAGTTGGTACATACTGTTTGACCCATTGAAGCCACCAATTTCACTGACAGCTATGGTATACAGTAGGGTTGCACAGATACCAACTACAGTACTCGGTACAAGTATGAGTACATGTACCGATACTTTTGAGCTCCAAGACTAGACTAGAGAAAAATTCAAAAATTAGGAGGCAGCTGTGATTTGTAAGGAGCACACGGAGCTCCTGGGATTTGTACATCTCTGTTTTAATGTACGATTTTGATTTTAGAAATATAAATAAAGGGATGCACAGATACCAGTTTTGCGAGTACGAGTACTGGTACTTGCCGAGTACTTACAAGTACTGATACATTTTTGCTTATTGTCATGTGACAGTTTTTCTAAAATAATACAGACTAATGATTTCAGGACAGTGGTGGAGGGCCAGAGCTAGGTACCAGCTGCAACCGCTGCAACCCTGGTAGTTCTCATGAAAATGCCAAGTATCTGCACTGGTAATCGAAAAGTATCCGTGCATCCCATCTGTGCATGACCTACAGGTCAAAAAAGCAAACAACCACAGAAACAAACAGTGTATGTTCAAATTGCTTTCCATCATGCATCCAAGTCTTCATCATGAAAACTGTTTCAAATGTTAAAACTAGCTTTTCATCACAAGATCTATAGCTATCCTGTATTTAAAACTGACTTATAAGACTTTGGAGAAACAGCAGCACCAACTTGTATTATAAGCAATTACTCACCAGTACACCTTTGATCCAACCAAATTTCACCACTCCTTTACTTTCTGCAACATGGTTGGTCACAGCATCTCCAGTTGGTGTCCCTTCGTCTCCATTTGCAAAACCATCTTCAAATGGTTCCTGAAAGAACAAAATATAAATGAAAAGGAGTGCAAACCCAAGTTCCACTAGCAATTATCTCCCTCCTGATGTCAACAAGGCAACACTTATACACGTATAACAAATAAACTGTGGATACAATGTATTGCTATGTCTTTATACTTCCATATTATTGATCAGGAACCTACCACGGCATCCTTATAGTATGGAACATGTTATCTCAAACTATGGGGCATCTATAGCCAACAGATGGCCAATATTTACAGTGTTATTCATAAGAGGGTGAAGAGTTTGGAGAAGGCAGGAGAAGTGAACAATCTAGGACAACATAGCTTAACTGGAAAATAAACTAAATTGTAGAATTTTTCCAAATCAGCTATGTTGTCCTAGATTGTTCCCTTCTCCTGCCTTCTCTAAACTCTTCACCCTTTTGTCAATAACCCTGTTAGTGAAGCAGTTGGTTGACAAATTCCCTTCCATATAATAAGACCTCTTTATGTTACCAATACCAGCATTTAGTGTAATATTTTTTCTGATGTTCTCAGCTGTTATGTCCTGTGTAAGGTTACTTATAGTCGTTTGTGTCCCTGTTAGGGAGATTTAATATTCTTGTTCACCAATTTCACAGGAAGTTAAAAGTTAGGGTAAATCCCAAAATTGGAGCCACCAAAACAGAAGTAGAAATTTTCCAAAGAGGACAAGTGTTCCTGTGACAACTGTCTAAGAGGGGTATTCTCTCACATTGGACAGATATCCTCCTATTTCCTGTTGACTCTCACAGGACAGAAAGTAAAAGGAAATCTCCCTAATGAGACATAGATGGCATAACAAGAAGACTGACTGTGGTTTAAACCCTCTCCTACTCCATCCAAAGTGAAAAAAATGGCTTTAGATATACTTGAAGCTAAAAAATTCGGCAAAGAAAGATTATCATTTTCAGACCAACCCATTTAGTTAATGCCAAAGGCCAAGACTGAATCTACCAAATAGGCCCATGTAAAGTCATAAAAATGGAACCCTTCTTAAGAAGGCTGAACAGATCCTGTGAAAAACAATCCTAATGACTGAACAAGTTCAAAACCTCTAGGTACTCATATCGGCTGTAAAAATCCCTAAAAATTGCATTTCTACTTGTCTCTATATGGATTTTGTGTAGGTTCTATTTTATTTATTTGTCTTCTTGGTGCCAAAAGGAGGTCACTATTGAAAAGAAAATCTGGAGTGCTGATGATGCAAAGGGCAGATGATAGATAAAACCTAGATCACATACTGCAGAAAGTCGTATTTCCCATGTGGATATTTCATATATACTGTATACTGTATATCTACTGCTTGCTAGAAGTAGATATAGGCAAAACAAACGGAGGGTTTAGAACCCCTTTAAAGTTTATTTGGGCTTCAAACATTCTGCAGGACAACTGGAAGCCTAAACATTGTCTATGCATTCCATTATAAGTCCCCAGTTCAATTGCAGTATATTACCATTATGTAACTATGTAACCATTATATACAATGATTGTTTTCTTCACTGCAAAACTGTTTGGCACTGGAGCATACTGACAGCAGCACACTGAAAGGCAATTACATTCCCCAACAGAAAACTTGCAATGTCCATCAAATGAGTGGCAGAAGAATGCTCTGGAAACAAACACGTTCAAGTGCTGATGGAAAGGAATAGATGAGAAGCGAGTTGTTCTACTGATGCTGCCAGCATATGCTAATATTGCAAAGTCAGTACCGAGGATGATAAATCTGAGAAAAAAGAAAAAAAAGTTTGCTACAAACACCAAAGCTGTATTACTGACCTTAATGATTCATTAAGCCCAGGGTCACCCTAAATCACCAGATGCTGAAGTGCCCACACTCACAAAGATTAATAGAGAACTTGACCTCAATCCTGCCCAGATATGGCCTAAACCTAATCTTGGCACCGATACAGGCCATTAAAAGGTTTACTAAACAGACATGACAGAACATATATAGCAAGCCTCCTTTGGCCTAAAATGTCTGATAACATAGAAAAATAGGTCACATCAAGATGCCCAGTAAATATGAATGGAAAACACGTTACCCATGCTTAGATGGGAATGTTTACATGCATACAGTGCTTGTAAGTGTCAGTGATATCCCTGTTATGGGGGGGGAAATCACTTTACCTTCAGTTTTAACTAGCAAGAGTGAGCCTGTCCACTGAACGGGGTGCAATTCCTGAGTCCTTAAACTTAAAGTGACATTAAACCCTCAGATTTTTTAACATAAAACAATACTGTAATGTGCGCCTTACTGTAATGTATGGTTGTTTCCCTTCTCTTTGCTGCTCTTCCTTTTAAATCTATATCTGTTCTCATGCTCTGCAGAACTTCTGTTTTGCAGCAGAATGCCTTGTCTCAGGAATGGATACACGGTGTCTGTGTATACGTTTCTATAGGCTTGTAACCTGAGCCAGCCCTACAGGAAGAGGCCCTGAGCTGAAAAGGGAAGTTCTCCCCAAGCATGACAGGAT